TTTTTCCTTTATTAAAGTTCTGTCAATCTTTTGCAAGTAGACAGTGTGATAAGTTTAGTATTAGAGCCTAGAATAAAAGAGATAGAAAATTAAACCATAATATAAATTCTAATTCCTTTATTAAACTCTATTAATTATAAATTAACATAAGAGGAAAAAGTAAAATAATATAGAAACAGATTAAAAAAATTAATAAATTTATAAGCGAAATATAAAAAGTCAATAACTCTAATTGTTAAACTTTTAAAGTATGAAATATCTACAATTATCACGTGTTTTCATCTTATTTGCATAGTCTGAGACTTAAATAATTAAGTAATCATTTTAATAAAACATTATTTTTGTTTGAATATTATCACAATTTGAATAATAAATATTTTTGTAACCCTTCCACTTAAGTTAGACCCACCATTATGCTAATGTTCTTTGGATTTCGACTTTACTGATCTTTTTTTCTTCTAAATCTATTATTAATCTTTAATGTCTTCTAATTTCTATCTACGACTGTCCCTTGTCTATATTTTCAGTTTCTAACGACCGTTCTTGAAATCTTGAATAATATATTCTGTTGCTTGTCAACCCCTGGTAAACGATTAGCTCTTTATCTCTGTAGGCGACTGATGAACTCAATTAACGCATGCTTTCAACGATTCACTATGGCTAGTTACCAATTATTGATACTAGTCTTTCTTTACAATCTTTGTTTCTACTAAAGCCCATTTTAAATCCTCTTGATAAATTATTCTAGCCTTTGCTTGTTTCTAACCTTCTCTTAATAACTCTATATCGCGGTAATTGACTATAACAGGTAATGTATTACGATTACTTGTAAACTTTATCTATGAATTCTATTCTCTTTTTCAATTATAGTCCGCCTTAAATTCTTTTGATAAATTATCCTAATCTTTACTTGTTTCTAACGGTTTCTGATAACTAATGATTAGCACATTATCTGGTAAACGATTGACGATAATTTATCTGCGATAAGATTGTTTCCACGAATTCTTGTCCCGATGATCGTCAACTTCCGTATCTTAGACTAAAGTTTCAGTAAACAATTGGCGATATTGGTAAGCGATTAACGATTGCAGGACGAACGTCTCTAACATTTGTTCTATCTAGTCTCTTGTTTCCAACGTTTTCTTGTTGATTAGTTCATTTCATCTAATTCCTGTAACCGTATAGAGATCTTTTAGACTTTCGGGTCTTCTACGACAGTTTGCATCTGCCGATATATCGACTTTGTCTTAAGGTCTCTTTATTCTCACTTGATCTTTGTCTCAGGTAATCGCATCTAATCTACTTCTACCTAAAATAATCTATTTAACCCTTTATCACTTTTTCTTACATTTATTCTCAAATTTATAATACACTGTCCAATATACCAATAAAATATATAATAAGTCCATTTCGTCTTAATGTATAAGGTTCGCCTCTAATCTTTCTTCCTTACATAATCTATTAAATTGCCTAACTTCTCTCTTAATTCCTTAAATATTTACTCACTTTTTCTCTAAATTAAATCTTAAAATTATAACACATAATAAAAAATATTCTAAATAATCTATATAATTATATCAAATTCTATCAGCCCTTTACCCTCAATGAAGCCCACACCCATCTCTTCATTGAGCCACATGCAGGTAGTTGTCCTTTATCTATCAATCCACATCCTTTGTCAACCATTTCTAATGCTGAATTTAAATCTAAAATTCTCATGAATATCTAGAATCTAAAAAAAATATTAGTTCTAAATTTTTACCCACAAAATTTTGTCTTCTTGTGGTATTACGCATTTATTTCGTATTACTTAATAAATCTTTGTACATGCCTGTTCTTTAAAGAAAAATAAAATATCTATTTCTTTTCTTGTCCATTATGCGGTTCACGCCCATTATTCGAAAACTGGAATAAATATCTTTTTTTATTCTTCTTTTTCGTTCACTCTCTTTGAAAACCAATTAACTTTTATATTCTCATACGTCTCGCACCCATTGTTAAAAACAACTCATTCACGTTTATCCTCAATTCTCAACACCCAACAATTATGATTCTTATAACTACAGACTTGTTAAAAAACAAATCAATTATGTTTATCATTAATTTTCAGCATACCAATTTATGATTCTCATAACTTTCTCAGACTTTTTAAAAAACAAATCAATTATGTCGATCATTAACACTTAAAATTATGATTCCATAATTATCACTTGTTCATCAACAAATCGATTATGTTTACCATCAATTAAAATAATTTATCAATTATATTTCTAACGCACTTTTTATTTCACAATTATATATCACTATTTTACACTCAATTCTTCTCTTTTAAAACTTCTTAAATTCTCCTACTTTTTTTTCCATTTTACACTCATAGTCTTATTCTATAAATATCAAAAAAAAAAAAATTTTTCTTTTCCGAGTATTTCTTATCCATATTATCATTATCCAACAAAAAATAATTTCTTCATTCTGAACGATATTTTCTTATATCCAAAACCCCATTAAAACAATTAAAAATAGACTTCATCATTTCTTCTTTAGTATTTCCTTAATTTCCTCTTGTTTTTATTTTTACTATTATTAGAATAACGTTGCTTATTGACCTCAAATCTTATTAATGATTTAAAATAAAAATTCGATCTCTAATTGAGCTCTGCGGCATAAATATTCTAATGATGAAAGCCATTGAAGATTTTTGGTTAATCAACAACCTATTACTAAATATATCAACTTATGCGTATCTTATTCACATATCAGATCCTTGAAGCTGTTTTATCTCTCGCAGCCCTTAAAATAAAATTTAAACGTAAATCTTCAATAAGGATTTAATTACAACATTCGTCATACTCTCTAATCTTATTCACCGAATTTTTTAAGTTATCATATATTTTAAGCAAACTATTTGTTTAATTTTAATCTTAACATATTTTCAATTATAAAATATTTTTACAAATAAATTTATTTAATCGCAATTTATGTTCCCTTTTCTTTGACATAGTTATCTATAGTGATCAATTATTTAATAACTTATAATATAAAATCTAAAACATCTTATTAATTATATTCAGTTAAATTCAATTGGTTTCTAGTTTACCAGTAACTTCTAAATATAAAATTCATAAATTATCACCTTAAATATAACACAAACTTCTTTATATCTTATCTACTATGAATGCTACCTTTATAATTCTTAGTTTTTCATTTTAGATCATTATATTCCTACACAATTTTGTATCATAATCTTATCAATATTTACAAAAATTAGTTCGAAATTTAAATGAACTACCGTAAAATATTATTTTTTTCAACCTACTTTTTAAAAATACTTCTAAATCTCTTTCGTATCCAAATTTAATTTTAAACGATAAATTTTCTTTTTGTTTTTCCAATATTTTAAATTTTAATTTAATTCTTGAAATGTTTTTATTACAAACTATTTTTCTTACTTCTTTATTTTTTCGAATTTTTGCCTTAGAATGCAGTTTGACAACAATTCTTGTTCCCATGTAACCATTGCCTGGAATTAGACTGAATGTTAAGTTGCCCAAAACACATTCACACTCCAGCACTACTGTGTTGGGGTATTAGAGCCTAGAATAAAATAGAAAGAAGATTAAACCATAATATAAATTCTAATTCCTTTATTAAACTCTATTAATTATAAATTAACATAAGAGGAAAAAGTAAAATAATATAGAAAAAGATTAAAAAAATTAATAAATTTATAAGCGAAATATAAAAAGTCAATAACTCTAATTGTTAAACTTTTAAAGTATGAAATATCTCCAATTATCACTCGTTTTCATCTTATTTGCATAGTCTAAGACTTAAATAATAGAGTAATAATTTTAATTAATGGTGTACCGATACCACTTTTTGGAGACCGATCCGATATCAGATCTAATTTTGTATTCTGTAAAGATACCAATGGTTTTAATTTGTAATATACTTTTTATTAGTATTACATCTATAATTTAATTATACCATAACTTATGTCTATTATAATGTTCAGTATCATTTCTATTGCAATTCTAAAAGTATATAAAATATTTTTATTGTTAAATCACTTTTACATAATAAGTAATCTAATAACATTAATCTATATACATAATAAGTAATAAACAAATATATTATGAAATTTGAAATAAATATTTAAAATAATATTTAACATTAATATATCGAAGATTTCTTTTTAGAAATGCCAAAATTTCCAATTTATCAGAGGTCAGCCTGCGGCGATTGTTACTGTCAATATCACCAGCTTCATTGTAGATTCTGAAGAGATTATCGCACACTTTTATAAATATATTAGCGCAAAAAAATAACAATATGGGAGGATGTTTATTAATTATTATTATTATTAAAAAAATAAACATAAAAATGTATTTCGATTTTAGATATAACTTTTTTTTAAAAGTTATAACATTTTATTTTTGTTAAAAACGCCATTTTATATCGGATCTGAAAATTTTATACTAATGGCCGATAACCGATATTTTAAAATGGATTAAATATCGGCCCGATCTGGTAAAAAAATATCGGTACATCCCTTATTTTAATAAAACATTATTTTTGTTTGAATATTATCACAATTTGAACAATAAATTTTTTTGTAACTGAATATTACAATAGACAGTTATATATTTTTATAGTCTTTATTTTGCTATATTTTTATGTTATTAAAAAATTTTAAATTAATATTTGTGTTTAAAATTTTTTAATTATTTTTTAATTAAATCAAAATTCATCTTCACTTCATATCACCTTTTCAGAATTTTGAATCCTAGTTTAAGAAAAGAATCGGTAGTTGTTAAAAATCGAAGCCCTGTTAAAGTAATGTTTCGTCGTATTCTTATGTTTAATAAATACAATATGGACTGTTCCCCTGAAGTACATCGGATTATATTTTTTGTTTATAATTACAAATTTAGTGATCTATGAGTAGATCTTATATTACTGAATCTCAGTACCGTATCTTATTTTTCCTATTTTTTTAGGTTAGAATGGCCAATTAGAAGTGTTAGTTTTAGTTATGATGGAAAAATTTTAGCTAGCGCTTCGGAAGATCTTATTATTGATTTGGCCAATGTTCCCACAGGTATATTTAATCATAATTTTAATATTTTTATAATATTATTAAGGTGAAAAACTTGGGGAAGTAAAATGCCGAGCCTCTACCTTTACTATAGCATGGCACCCTTCAAAATATATATTGGCATATGCATGTGATGACAAGGATAAATCAGATAAAGATGCTGGTACTGTAAAATTATATGGGGTGCCAAATGAAATTGTTGATACATTACCTAATTAACTATGTATTTTTTTGTTCGATAATTGAGGGAAAACATATTATGTAAATTATATAGTAAAAAATTGAAGATGTTTTTAAGGAAAAAATATTTTTAAAAAAATGTAAATATGCCTTTATTATTACGTATAATGCTTGTATTATTACGTAATGCTTATATTATTACGTAGAATGGTTAATTATATAATAAATATAAATTTTTATTATAAACAATATAAATTTTAAATAGTATTTTTAAAAATCGCGAGGATTTATTTTTTATTTATTAAATAGTAAACTTATATTATCGTCAGTAGGTTACCCAGGCTAATGAATTTGGGTAAAGCCACCTTTATGGGGAGAGTAAAAGCGCATTTAATTGGAGTTCATAATGGGTAAGGTTGTTATGAGTGAAACGGTTAAAATGCTCCGTTTGATTAAAGCTGTAAAAGGATAATTTTTAAATATTCATATAAAAAGATATTTTTGGGCAAAAAGGAACATTACTAAATAGTTTATTTGGAATAAAATTTTAAAAATTGTGAAGGGGAAGAATAATTAAAATTAACGATTTCCTAAAATGAGCACACTCAAAATGTGTTACTTTTGATAAAAAAAATTTACATTCCCATATTGTATTGTTTAGTTTATACTTAAAAATGATGAATGAATGTCAAAATTGCGACATTTTGCTCGACGTTATGCTCAATTTTATTTTAACCATTTTAGCCTGAGGCATTTTACCTTAAGAATGGAATAAAATGGCACTAATAAATTATAGATAGAACGCTTTTTTTTATTATGTCTATGAAATTTTGTTTGGTTTTTGTTTCAAAATTTGATAGTAAAAATGTAAAATAAAAAACTTTGTCTCTCCTAATTGTATTTATAAACTAATTTCTAATATGAAATAAGAGATAAGAGATAGATTTATTATGAAATACCAGGGATCTAAACCGAAACGAATATCGGTTCAGGTTCGGATAAAAATAACGGTTCAAGGTTCAGGTTCGGTTTTTAAATAATAAAAATATCGGTTCGGTTCGAACTTCTAAAAACCGGTTTGAACACTTTTGTATTTAAACCTACATTCAAATTATGTATAGGGAAGAATATATTTATTTATTTAATAATTAAAATAAAAAACACATACATAAAACCTTTTATTAATTGCACATTAAAAAATAATATTTAATTTATAAATATAACAAATAAATATAAATGATTAATTTTAATATGAACAGTTACTTAAAAATTTTTTATTAAGCCGCACAATTAATATATTTTCAAAATTATGACCGACACTTATCAATCAAATGTGATTGATGATAATCTTTAAAACAATTCGAATATTAAAATTTTTGCAATATACTACTAATAACTTACACATTATTTTATAAGCATAAAATTATGAGACTCGAACCGGTTCAGAGGCATTTTAACGGTTCGGTTCAGGTTCGGCTAGAAATTTTTTTAGCGGTTTAGATTCGATAAAATACCGGTTTTTAGCGGTTTAATGGTTCGGTTTAGATCCCTGTGAAATGTCTATGTTAAGTTCTAGGATAGTTTTGATGCAAAAATTAGATACCTAAACATCATTTAAAATAATATTATAATAGATATACAGCTTATTTTATGTTCAAAATGGAGAAAAAAAATATGATTGCAATGGCTATCCTTATGCAATATAAATAGACTAAGAAAATTTATGATGAAATGCCCCACTAAAATAAGTACTTTTAAATTATATTAAGTTAATAAAATAATTTTCTTAATGTAAGTAGAGCCCCTGCAAAGTGATCTTTTCCCGGCCCCAGCCCATATTTTAATAAATTTAGTGCCCAAGCACAAATTTTAATAAATTTAGTGCCCAAGCACAAATTTTTTGTTCCAGCTCGACCCGAGCCCGACTAATAAAAATGAAATTTTTTACTCTGTTTATTATATAAGTTGGAATTTTTTCCATGCTTCAGATTTTTCATTTGTAATTTCTTTGATATGAAATAGAGTTCCAATTTTTTAAGAAATTATTTTAAAATTTGGATCCATTCTTTAAATAATATTATAAATATAAAAAATTGAATAAATCTATGATAAAACAAAAATTATCAAATGAAAATATTTCATAACTGTTATAACAGATTTATTCTAAATTTTATGTTGCCTAAGAATATATATATTTTATTTAACCCGATAGAATATGCTGCATCTAAGTCTAAGTAATACGTTTATATAAAAATCCAGGAAATTGTTAATTTAGGAAATAATTATGCAAATTAATAATTGAAATGTCAGATGAAATTCTAATATTTAATCCTCGGGTTAGGGTTAGCTCTAAATGTAAGTTATCCAAAAAATAATATAATAAATTTAAAGTTTGGGGTATGTTTAAAAGGAAGGGAAAAATTATCTGCTGATCGTAGGTTTTCACCTTGAAACATCGAAAACAATCAGTTGCATTTTTTGACTATCGCACTCTGATCTAATATCCACAGTATGAAGAAATTTAAATTCTTGTCAACCCTGTGAATAAATTTAAAGTCAATATGCAATTATATTTTTGATAACTTGTCGATCGCATCACATCTTCTAGTTTGTAGAAAGTTAATCATGGTTTTACATCGACAACAAATCTCCATCATAGACGAGGAGCCGAACCCAATTTTTTCATAAAATAAAAACTTGGTTAATACAAATTAAATAATTTCATCTTTATATTTGTTTACAATTAAATTAAAAATATTATAAATTACTTATTTATAGAAATGGTCATTAAATCATTGCATTATAAAATATATAAAACTTTTCCTTTTATAACAATTTTAAATCATCATTTGAATAATATAATAACAAAATAAAATTAAGAGTTAAAAAATTAACATAGTTGTTAAAAGATACTTTTCAATGGATCTAGATACGATATAGATGTATCGTCTAAAAATGTATACAGGTATAATTCTTTATATACTAATATGCAGGGTTCGAACGGATAATCTTATTATGAGAGCACAAAATTAGTGTTGTTAAAAAGTCGAGTTCTTACGACTTGCGAGTCGTAGTCGTAAGAAACGGCTCCGACTCAAGCCGAATGAGCCGACTCACTTAGTCGGCTCGCTTATTCGGCTCGTTGGGTCTGCTCAATTTTTTTGTTTTTTTTATAAAATCTGGTAAATTGCTAAATTTTGGGAAAATGATTAATGTGAACAAAATTATAATAAGAATATGTTGTTTAAGTTTTTCGTATTTTTTTGGCATAAATGGGTTAAAATAAGTATTGCTAAGGCTAACATGTTTAAATAAAATTTTAGTGAAGATGTACCATATATAAGTGACAATTGTCATAATCGTTGTTTTTAAAGTATTTCAAATTTTTTTGACGTAAATGGACTAAAATAAGCATTGCTAACATGTTTAAATAAAATTTAAGTGAAGATGACCCTAGATAAGTGACAATTGTACGTCATAATAAGCTCAATTGCCCTTTATCGCTATATGAAACAGCAGAGCTACGCTTGGACTCCCATCTAATTGGGTTAAGAAATTTGGGGGTAGCCTATGAAATGAGCCCATCCACAATTTTTTGGCAGGCTGCAGTTACCTGTGCGCGCAAGAGGCGAAACCACTTGCTTGAACGCCTACGGGAGATAAGAAGAGAGAGAAAAGCCCGTACCCGATTAAGTAAAATGTATATTATAGGGAGATGTATTGGTAAATTTTAAGTTTATGGTCTATATTGAATTTGTTTATTAACTCAACTTTGCTTTTTGTAAAATATTGAGATATAATGTTCATAGAATCTGTAAATAAATATGATTAAAATAAAATAATATTTACCGTTCTTCCATTTCAAATTTTCCACCGGATGAACCAAACCCAAAAATCTAAAGTGACAATCATAATCGTTGTTTTTAAAGTTTTCCGAATTTTTTTGACGTAAATAAGCTAAAATAAGCATTATTAACATGTTTAAATAAAATTTTAGTGAAGATGTACCACAGATAAGTGACAATTGTCATAATCGTTGTTTTTAAAGTTTTTCGAATTTTTTTGACGTAAATAGGCTAAAATAAGCATTGCTAACATGTTTAAATAAAATTTTAGTGAAGAAGTACCACAGATAAGTGACAATTGTCATTATCGTTGTTTTTAAAGTTTTTCGATTTTTATTGACGTAAATGGGCTAAAATAAGCATTGCTAACATGTTTAAATAAAATTTTAGTGAAGATGTACCACAGATAAGTGACAATTGTCACAATCGTTTTTAAAGTTTTTCGATTTTTTTTGACGTAAATGGGCTAAAATAAGCATTGCTAACATGTTTAAATAAAATTTTAGTGAAGATGTACTCTAGATACGGTGTTTTTTAAATATCTATTTAATGTATAATATAAATTTGAAATCTAATGGGGCGAAAACAAGGAATCGAACCCGAACCTTGAGGAAAAAACCCGCTAACCAAACCTGGGTAAAAATTTTGCCGGGTTCGCATCCCTGGGCGATAATGTTTTTGCCGCAAAGATTTAATGTCATTTGATTCTATAAACAATAAAGGAATAACTGATTTTCTAAAGTTTTAAAATTTAAATAAAATGATTATTAAAAAATTAATTGTCTAAGAAATATAAGATAATTATTTCTCGTCAGAATAGAAAATACATAAATGTAAATTGGAGACAGGAAATAGTTGAAAAAATGAATTAAACCATATAAACAATGTGTTAGAAAAGAGCGCCCAAAAAGATCATAAAAAAATGTAATTCATTGTTTTATAAATTAAATTCATTAAAAATTTCGTGTCACCGTCGCCGACAATTTAGTAGGCGGTGGCAAAATCCACACGCAGCAGAACGCCGATGAAAAAATTATAAATCGCCGAGGTAGATGCGACATCGGCGCACAGGTCTAGATATTATATTAGAAGTAGATTCATCTAATGAAGGTATAGATAGGAAAAGCCGTTTAAATTAAAATTAGTTATTTTAATCAGTTGTTAAAGTAGCGGGCTATCTTTTTAGTAGTGGTAGGTATTAGCATAAAAAATACTACCACTGATAATTTATATTAAAATAAAGGATATTAATATAATAGAAAATCCTACTTTTATGTATATTATATTATGCAATTTCATTATAAGCAAAAAATAAAACAAATTTATTTCTAAATTT